GAGAGTGAGATGGAATGCTGGGAAATGGCTCTTGTAACACAAACATCTTGGGCTGCAGTATTGCTTACCGGAGTTTGTTGGGGAGGGTTGTTGCTGTTAATTTTATGTCTCTCTATTTTGGATCTTATATAGAGAAAAAAATTAATTCCGTTGTGTACTAGGGAGAGGGAGGACGTATGTTCCATTAACAATTGGATGGTCCAACTTCCGCTTATGATTCGGAAAACTCTGAAGCCCATTCAATCAATTATTAGTCCACCTGTCTCCCAGTGAAGAACTCAAGGTGGATCACAACATAAACTAAAACAGATGCAACTGTAAAGACACCATAATTAATATAGTGCAACCAAAAATGTCACAACAACAACAATAATAATAAATTATAATTTATTATTTATACCCCACTCACCTGGGCTTTTGAGTTCAACAGGACTTTTCAGCAGGCTGGATATGAAGTAAAACCAAGAATGGGGCTTTACTGAAGGGGGAAGCCTTTTTGGTCCAGAAGTCATAATGTCTTCCTTTAGTCAGAAGCTCCTTTTGGTGGTGTAGTCTTAGAAGTGGCTCAGCTTATCGAGGGTTGTGGAGAACAGCTCCTGCGGTATCACTGCAGTACCATCCTGTGGGCATCCACCTCGGCCCCTGTTCTTCAGTCAAACCGTTGTTTTCTATTTTAATTTGGAAGTGCTTGTATTTGTTTCAGAAAGGGCTAAATACAACAACATGAACCTCCATCGAAGTGATTTACTGGTTAAAGGGGTCAGCAAACTTTTTCAGCAGGGGGCCGGTCCACTATCCCTCAGACCTTGTGGGGGGCTGGACTATATTTTGAAAAGTGGGAAAATGAACGAATTTCTATGTTCCACAAATAACCCAGAGATGCATTTTAAATAAAAGGACACATTCTACTCATGTAAAAACACACTGATTCCCAGACTGTCCATGGGCCGGATTGAGAAGGCGATTGGGCTGCATCCAGCCCCCAGGCCTTAGTTTGCCTACCCATGGGTTAAATTAATTGGTGCCTACCATACCAAAATGCATTTTGAGCTGTAGACCTACAAAGCACCCTTAATCTGCATGGATAAATAAATAAACACTTAAATAGCAATAGAAGTAAAACTATTTTTATGTAGTTACAAAACTATATATAAATATACTTTCATTCTGGAATTTGTTTAATTGGTTTTTTTAAAGGATTGGGGTTTTTAACTGTTCTCATTTGATCTGTAAGCTGCCTTGAGTCCCTGTCAATGAAAAAGGGTGGGATATAAATATATAATCAAAATCATTATCCACTGAACTCAATAGGATTTCCTTTGGAGCGAGGATCTTTGTTCCCCACTGAACGCCACCAGGACTGGGGGGGGGGGGATACCCCATCTCTAAGGTTGAAGCCCCCGACAAGGCATGCAGGAACTGCAAGAAATCTATCATGCGCACTTACCTGGGAGTAAATCCCATTGAGTAGCGGGAAACTGAACTTGGCTACACGTGCGTAAGATCGGGCTGCTGCAAAACTAGGCGTCGCAGGCCATTTTCTCCCCATTTTGCAGAGGGGAAAACTGATCAGATACATTAGCCAAGAAGCGATAAGGGCTTTTCCCCATCCCAAAGGACACCGTTGCCCCCGTATTTCTCTATGCGATCATTTCTCCATATGCATTGCAAGACATCCACCCGTGGATCTGTTATGTTGCTCTTGTTATCTTGAGAGACTGCGGGTTGCTTTTTCGTGCTTTGAAGTCTTTTTAAAATTATTTTAAAGTAATTGTGATGTATGCTAAAGAACCAGGAGACTCTGGGTTTGTGGGATCGACTTTTATTTTGGCTGGAAGTGAAAGATGCACCAGTCAGAGCCCGAACGAAAAGCTAGAGAATTGAAGGATTCTGAGCCCAGGAATTTGTTCTGAGTTCCAGAACTAAGTCCTTCTGCGAAGTCCTTTTCCGTCCAAACGTCCATTTCAGCAGGGTCGTTTAAGGCAGGGAGAAGGGGTCGTTTTGCTGGGGGTCTTGCTAAATCCTTGCGGTTCTGCTGCAAATTATCCTGAGATCTACCTTCTGCCCACCGTCTTCTAAAAAGCAGATTATCAACCAGCAAAATAAGGCCACTCTTAGAGATTCTTATTTCAAATAAAAGTAGCCAAGGACGATGCAATCGCAGTCCGTTTAATAAAACCATAATAAAGGGAGAATGGAGATGTAGCTGGGTGTTCATGCATGCTTATTTACGCGGAAGTAAGACCCCCGTCGGCCTCCGATGGGGTTTACTCGGAAGCAAGTGAGCAGGAAAATGTAGCCCAAGGGAAATTCAAACGCCCTTTATGACTCTCGCTTTCTTGTGTTTGATCATTTGTCTCTGGATGTTTTATTTCTGTGAGTGAACGTGGTTGCAGGAAATAATATATATCCAAATTCATCAGAGAAGGGAGAGGAATTAGGAATAGTTAAGAGCTGAGGAAATTATAAATAATTTCCGGACTTTGAAGACGAAAGATACGGACGGGAAATATCTTGGGATTCAACATCTCCACCGTAATACCTGTTCAGAGCGAGATTTCATCAAGGCAAAGAGTCTGGTTTTAGAAAAATACAATAAGGTCTCTTCAGAACCTTTCCTGCAATCTCCGTCTCAGGAAATCACTTTCGGCTCCGCCGCGCAAGCCTAAGCAGGTCTACTCGGAAGTAAGTCCACCAAGTGCAATGCGATTTACTCCCGGGAAAGTATGTCTAAGACTACAACAACCTAAACCCAGAGAGGTTAGGCTGCAGTTAGGTCTGTCCCGCTGAACATCCTGGGAGTTCAGATCCGCCGAAACCGTCTTTCAAGGCGGGTCCCAATTTTAAAAATAGTAATAATCGACACTAAAACCCAGTGGGAAAATAAAGACTAAAACTAAGTTGTCCAAGGGACAACTGTCTCCAGCTTGAGGCTCGTCAACACAAAGGTGCTGAATGCGTTCAAAGACAAATTGATTTGGGGGGGAGGGGGCAGCGTACATTTGCAAAAGTAAGGCTACTCTTTTTTCAGCCCTAAAAGCAGGGCTGTTGTTTTTAACTGCGGACAAAGTAGCCATGAGAAGCCACACCTGTTGAATTACTGTCTGACAGGCAACTGCTCACAGCAGAGAGCATTTGTTCCGGAGTGGGGAGGTGGGTACACGCTTGGTTTCCTCTTTATTCGCTTCTTTTAGCTGGATCTATGGTGCTGGAGACGTCGCTTTCCTCGGCGGTTGAGAGGTTCTCGGTTTCCTAATTTGTTCTGCAGCGGGAGAGGAGGTTCAACGAACATTCAGAAAGTCAGGGCATCTTTCTGATTCGAAGTCACTTCGAAGTCACAAGCTAGTTAAACCGAAGTCACTTCGATTTTTAGATCAATAAGACCAACCTGTGGCTTTCAGTTTTAAGGCTCCTCGCTCATTAGCTTAAAATAAGTGGCAGCCAGATGAAGACGAGTTTCTTTGAACTTCGGAGGCCTCCTTGGTTCACAAATCTTTTCTTTAAAGGTGGAGCCTACTTTGATAAATGACCCTCCACATCCGATGGAATACTGAGCAATCCGATGGAATAATACTGGTTCGAGTCAGCTGGACCCAAGAAAGAGAGCAGGGCTGCTCTGGAAAGAATTGCGCGTTTTCCTGATCCCCTTTTAAGTCACATCCAATTCACTTTGTCCTTTAAGCAACTGAGCAGGGAGTCGTTATTTAGGACATTATTCGAGGGCATGCCGTGGAGAATAGAAGATGCCACCTCTAGTTCAGTGTTGTCTACACTGGCTGGCAGCGACTCTCCAGGTAGAGAGACTTTCCCAGCTGTACCCGCAGATGCCGGACCCCGAACCTGGAACCTTCTGCAGAAACCAATTCTAGCGCAAGAGATTTGCAAATTAAGGTCCCTTCGGAAGTCCAAAGAAACTGGTTTCGCCCTTAATTATCACTCCTAGCATTCCGTCTTTCCTGTAAAGAGCTGCCAGAGAGCAACAGGTGCTTGTGTTTAGACCACATAAAAGCAGGAACACTTATGAATTTAGGGCCTGCTCAGGGTACAACCCACAACCATTTTTCTGTCGCCCCCCGAAATTATTTGAAGCTTCAGCTCGGATTGAAATCCACGAGGCTTTGATTGTCGTTTTTATAATGCAAATCAGAAATGAATAGGCTTCGGGTTTGGTGCATCTACTTACATTTTTACGCTAATCTCAAGATCGCCAGAGCCGGTAAATCTCACCTATGCGGATGTATTTGGAAACAGCGCAAAATCCAACCCAAGTTTTCCAGCTAGCAGCCACCACTCTCTGGAAGTAAACAATCCAATCCTACCTCCGCGAGTTTGTTCTTTAATGGGGCTTACTCCTAAGTAAGTGTGACGATCCCATTGAAAGAACCTACTTCCAAGTAAACATAGTTGGGAATGTGTTGTTGTGGCTATAGGCTTTACGCACGGTTATTTGGGGAGCAAACTCCATTTAAACTTAACAAGACTCGAGACTGCATACAGAATAGGCAGAATCGGGCTAGAATCAGCAGTGGGAAAGCCTCTTTCAGTCAGAAAGGAAAAGATTAACCGCTTAATGGAAATATATCAAGCTATACAATGTAATACTAGCTTACGATGATGTGGTTGGCTGGGTTGATTCGAAGCCCGGCCAAATCTGACAAATTCCTCGCTATCAGCCAGAAACCAGAATCGCTTTTTTATTTTCTTTTTAAAGGTCTTCCCCTCAAACTTTGACCTAGTAGCGCCATCAAGGATTGGAGGAGGGGGCGAGATCGTTTTGAAACCACAGTATTTCTGCTTAACACTGTTGCGCCCGAGGCAGAAATATACTTTTTAAAAAATCACCCTGTCCTGGAGCTTGAAAATTCACGAGCTCTTTCGCGAATCGTCTTCTTTCCCTGACTTTTAACGTCTAAGGGGAAGAAGCGTTGCATCCTCTCTACTTCAAATATCGGCTGCGGTCGGTTCCAGTTCCGCGTGGAACAAGCGAGCAAACTCGCTCAATGAGGTTTCGGGACAGTTTCGTGAAACTGATAAGCTCGCCTTACAGCCTAGCGGCACAACTGCAACGCGGTCGGTCGGTTTTAATGCATCCTAAAAGTTGCAAGTTCAGGGGTAAGTGTGAGGGTTTTCTTCTGCGGTGGGAGAAAGCTCGGTTTTCAGAGTTTGTCAGCTGGTGCTAGATATCGCTTTCTCTCCCCCCCCCCCCTTTTATGGGTCTTCGAAAAAAACCTCAAGGCAAGGATGGTCCCCTTAAGGGGGAAGATAAGTTTTAATCAACCTAGTGGATGTTACATATGAATTTGCAACAATGTGAGCCTAGACCTGGTCGGTATCCGAAGCAAACCTTTCTGCTTATGCCGAAACTTCATGCCGCTGATCATTTTGAATTGATTTCCTGGGTGAGAAAATCCTTCATATATTACTACATACTTTTTTTTAAGGTTTCAAATGAATGATAGCAAGGCTGCTCTCTCACAATTAAAGCCAGTTTAATTCGAGTGACTTTTTTAAGCGTGGGGGATGGTTTAGTTGTCTTAGACCGAGAGAATTTGCAGAGATATAGATATATAGATGCATGTCAGTTCCAGAGAATTCAGACGGGAAGCGAATACGGAATAACTGGGATTTAACGATACGAAAAACTTAGAACCTAAGGGAAAAGGTCGACAAGAAAGGATTGCATAAAGGGAGGGGGGAGATGTCGGCAAAATAGGGGTGAACGGTCAGAACAGAGAAAAATAATGAGGGGGGGGGCTGCTGAGAGATTGGGGGGAGAGAAAAACCCTTGAAAAGTCCCACTGATGTTAATGAGATTTCCCAGAAGTAATAAACGTAGCACGACTTTAACTGCGTTGTTGACTCAACTAGAAGCCCAAGGGATTTATTCCCATGCAAAGGTGTTTAAGGGTTATAGCCTTCAAATTCCGCCCAACCGCAGTTTTAATTATAGAAATTGATTCTCATCGAAGCTGAAGGTGACATCAGAGGCCACAATTCCGAAGCAATCCGTCTTAAAAATGCTATCAAAACCGTAACTAGGTCTTTTCCCCCCCTTTCACGGTAAGGAGGTAGCCGATTAGCAATCCAGTCTATCAAGTAACCTCCACGCACACCAGACATTTAAAAGCCAATTTCTCCCCTAAAAGGAAGACATCTGGGAACTATAATCCCCCCCCCAGCTACCAATCCGGGCACCCTGAACAAACTACAGTTCTCGCGCTTCTTTGGGCGAGGCGGGTGGAGATGTGCTTTCATGTATATTCACAAGCACGCACGACTTTCTCTGCCAGCCGGGGAGGCAGCTCTGGAAAGGAAATAATCGAGGGAGAAATCAAGAGGCCTTGGCAACGCAAGAGAAATCCATATCCTGCTTTTAAAAAAATAGAAATATAAATTAAAAAATTCCCTTAAATTACTTTCTGGTTTCGGGGCAGGGAAATCTTCTCCCTAACTTTTTTTCCTCCTCCTTTTTTAAATGGTCGCCACCCAACCTTGCCCTACATGCCTCTCTCTTTCTCCAGCTTGCCAGGAGGTGGGGGGGCGGTCACGTGACACGGCCCCCTCCCCCCCCCCGCCGTAAAGGGGCCGAGCCGCAGATGAAGGGAATCACTTTAAGGCCGAGATTAGGCGAGAGAGGAGCTCGTCTCCCAGGCGCGATAGGCGAGCCGGGTCCCCAGCAGCTATCAGCGCGGCGGATCAGAGATAAGAGGCGCAGCCGGAGCAGCGGCGACGCAGCAGAGCCGCGCTTCAAAGGAATGGGCTGCTGAGCAAGAACCCCTTTTGCATTTTTTATTTTTTTTAGGGGGTGGGGTGATACTGGGATTAGACTCCCTTTACACGCGCAAACCCTTTTCCTTTTTTTCCCGGGATTTTTCCCCCTTTTGGATTTTTTTAAAAAAATTCTTATACTTTGTTTCGAATCGTCTCAACTCAGAAGTTTGCCTGCTCCATCGTAAGTATCCCACTCTCTAAATTATCTCTCGTGCAAGCTGGGCTTATCTTCCCAGATAATGCCACACTCGGAGAAGTGGGGAAAGGGAACGGTTGGGGGGGGGACTCTATTAGCTCTGCAAAGACCCACTATTGATAACCGTGTCTGTGATTTACGAGTTTCCTGATTAATTCCCCCATCTTTTTTTATCTTTTTTTTTTTTGCAAGGGTGGGGGAACCCTGTTCAGATAATGTTTTCCTACAGAAGAACTGATAGGGAAAGGACGCGCCCCTCCGCCCTGTTTAACGAGAGGATTGGTTATATAGGATGGGCCTAGGAAGCACATTCCTTTTCCCTATTAGATAGATCTTGCAGGGGATCTATCTCGCCGCCGCCGCCGATCCCCTTTACTGAATTTGCTTTCCTTGGGTCCACCCGAATCCTAAAAGCAAATACACTGGAGATTTTTACGTCCCATTTTAGCATTAATGGCTTTCTACTTCTTTAGAACCTTTGCATGTATCCGTGCAAAAAAAAAACCAAAACAAAACAGCAGCAACCCCAAAACATTGCAATCTGATCTTGCAAATCCTGTTCGAGTTTTAATTCGGAGTTAAGCGCAGCAGGACTGACTTCGGAGTAAATCATGCTATCGTGAACCGCTTAATTCTGAGTTGGAATTCAGTGTGTTCAGCTTCTTCCTCGATTTTTTTTTGATATTTTTTTTTACTTCCTAGTAAACATGAAGCCAAGCCATGCTTTACTCGGAAGTAAGTTTACTTCTGAAGTCTGTGGGATTCTAATCCTCGAAACTAATGGGAGGAATTCTTGTTTCCGCAAGGAAACCTGCGTAGGGCACCGAAGTTGGTTACCGATCCTACAGCTCGGTACAGCTTGGAAATAAGCTTAAATCTGTTCGAGAGATCCTCTCAAAGCGAGGTTGGCGCACTGGAAATCTCATTGAATTTCCGCGACAGCCTTTACTTCCGAGTGAATGGGACTGCAACCGAGGTCGCAGCCACACGAGCTGCTTAAGACCAGAGGCTTACTTTGGAGTAAAACGTTATAGGTGTAGGTTTAAGTCGGCATTCCGTAGTAACTCGTCCTGCTTTGGTCCCTGTGTTTCAGCAGCCAAAACCCGCTAACTACGTCAGAAAGTTTGCTGCTATTTTGTATTGCATAAAATTGTTTTAGTGAAATTAAAATACTGGTGCCCTCCAACTGCAGTGTTAATTTGCAGGGCATGGGGGCTTCCTATATATATTTTTTGAATATGTGATGGATCAGAGATCTGGATTTCCTACTGAACTCTTCAAAAGGGTTTCTACTATTTTCATTTTATGCATTTTTCCAATTTATTTATTTTTGGACAACAGCTGAATTATTTGCTTCCATGTAAACATTCAGAGTACTGTACTTATTCTATGTTTCTTCACCTCCTCATCCTTCAACTACTTTATTTCTTTATTTACTTTTTGAAACTTTAAAAAGAGCCATAGGTTAAGCACCCATTTCCAAGGTCACTAAAGTAGTTTTTTGGCTGAGTGGAATTTGAACACAGTCCACCCTCACCTCGGGCAATTCCTAGTCCAGCACTCTTAACTCATTGCCAGCTCTCTGAAATGTTCTAGCAGAGTGTTGCTTTTATATCTGGGATAAGGTTTTGGGGTTGGTTTGAAAGTCTGTATTTTAATGCCACCTTCGTGGAAGTGGATTTAGTGCTTTTGGTTTTCTCCCTCAAAATTGTCATTAGGGTGGCAAGTGGCTATTAGGATAGTAGTGTAATTTTGGGGAGAGCTTTCACAGATCCGAATTATCCAAACCATTATGGGCAGGGGAGAGAGGACAAATAATTCAAGAGTGTTCCAAGAAAGAAGAAAAACTATGAACCCCTAGATTATAACACTTGGGTTTTCCTTCCAAAGTTCTGGGTCCAAAAATGGCTGACCAAATTCGGCACGACTTTTTTCCTTGTAAATGGCATGGCGCATGAACTGCAGTTCAGTGGGAGCAAACTAATTGAATTTAGGCCCTGCTTCTGAGTAGACTGGCATAGAAATCATAACCCAAGAAAATCCTTAATAAAAACAATTTAAAAAGGGTGGGGGAATCATCTGCAAATAGTCTTAGCAGCAGCAATATTACTAATATTTATTTTTTAAATGCAATTTGTTACTACATCTATGGTGGCAAACTCTGACGCCAGTTGATAACCCCTTTGAGGACAAAAAAAGCTACATCCGCTTACCTGGAACCTGGTTCTTTTCAAAGAAGTGGGACTTATTTACACATATATGTGATGATTAGGACAAAATCTACTGTGGATGCTGGGAGCACGCAGGATTAATTATTAGTACTTAGCCCAATTCCAAACTCAGTTAAGAGCAACTGTGTTGCAGTGTATCCTGTTAATCTGCTAGCTTTCTGTCTAAATATTATAGGCTGAGCTTTCAGATGTAGTTCAGCGCACAGAAAGTATCCTATTTATGGCTTGCATTTATATCGGCGCAGTGTATTCACCACAACCGGGCAATGTGGTTCTAAACGGGCTTCATTATCCATCTGGGGCGATGCAACTTAACCCTGACAGCGCTTTTGGGACCGGGGTGTAAATGAATTTGGAGGCTGGGGCATCCGTTAACACACAATCCACTGGCCTAATAAGGACAGCCAAATGAGACCAAAAGTCCGTTCTGTGTTTGACCGTGGCCAGCTGGGTGGTTCTTGAGGCTCTGTCGGACCTCTCCTTGTTCCTTCCTGGAACCTGGCTTTCCAAAAGCAACTTCTTCTGAATAGATTCCTGGTGTCCCTTTAGCACTTATCACTCATTGTATTTTAGTTTTATATGTCCTCCATATATATATATATATATATATATATATAATCTTTTCCCAAAGTTGGTGGCCATCACAACACCTCCTGGGTGTGAATTCCACATGTTATTTATGTGCTAAGTGTTTCTCTTTCTTATTCTGATGCTTTCGGCATGTGTGTGTGTGTGTGTGTGTGTGTGTGTTTGTGTAAGGGGCTTTAATTCTTTGCATTCCTAGCAGATGGTAAGCTGAGCTCCTTTGGGAGGAGTTATAAAAATTAATTAATTATCATTAACAATAAACATGCAGAGGATTGTACTGCTTTTTGTTTCATTTTGGTAGTCTGTTCTATTCTGGGGGTTTAGGGGAAGTTACTGTAATATGGTGGTGCTTATGCCCCCCCCCCCAAGAGCACCACTGCTTACGCTTAATTATTTTAGTCGGACACATTTCATGCAAATGTGTTCTCCATGCTCACCAGAAGTATTTGTAAGAGATTAGCTTTTCAGCTTGGTGGCAAGGAAGAACCTTATCTGGATGAAGCCTGTTGCTCTTGCTTAATTCGTAATAGATGGATCAATTCACTCACAGCTGAAGAGGATATTTCATCTGGTTAACAGTGTCGTTCTTGAGCCTCAAATGGGTTCCATGTGACTTTCTGTTCATAAATTATATTTCTGCCCCGGCAAATAAAAAATAAATCACTTAAAGTCAGAATGCTGTTATGCTTCAATTCACAACTTCTGAATATAGCAAATTCCTGCTGGGTGGCATATGAAGTGGATCCCCGTCCTTGAAAGTTTATGTCACAGTGAATTTCTTAGCCTTTAAGATGCCACAAGACTCTTCAATGAATCTTCTTGGAGTAGGACTTAGTTGGCTGCAACTCAGTAGTATTTCATTTACTTATCGCTAGAGCATCTCAAAGTGGATTCAGCTACTACTTCTAGAGTAAACCAACTGCTGTGGTACTCAGGTTCTGATTTTGGGTCTCCCATAGGCATCTGATTGGCCACTGTGAAAACAGGATGCTGGACCAGAAGGGCCATTGGCCTGATCCTGGAGGGTGATAGGACTACCTCAAAATGAGTAGGCTTGAGCTCTCTGCCACTTGCTCCCTGTGTAAGGCCCTGTCGGGAAGTGTATTTGGAGACTGCAATGCCCACTTGCTAGGGGATCAGCACCACTGACACGGGTGGGTCTAAATTCCATGTAGCCTCGCAAAAGAATTTGCTTTCAGGGCACAAACAATGCATTCTTGCATTGTTCGTAAAATACTTTTAAAAATAGCCAGTTGTTCCACTTCTCTTTCCGTCTGTCAGACTACAGATGCAGGCTGTAATCCTCAACTCATTCATTGCAACATAACCCTATGGGGCTTAGTGGGATAATGCTGGGTAGGCATAAAGAAATTGAAGTCACCATAGTGTTGCTTATACACTGGGGGGGGCGGTGTAGTATAGGGATAACTGGAATCTACATGAGTTTGATGTTTAGTGGCTTGTGAGCTGCACCGGGGTCCAGATCTGAGAATGCAATCCTTTGCAGACTTTCTTGGGAGCAAGCCCTTTTGAACTCTGTGGGCCTTACTTCCAAATATACATGGATGGAGGGCATCAGTGAGCTGCAAATGTCTCTCCTCTGGCTTCTGATTGCCAAAAGTGCTTCAGACACAGCAGAACTGGTTGGCTGGTGTCCAGGACAGAGTTGTCCATCCCTTTGCCCTTAGCAACAAAGCTCTCCAGACACTCACCCTCTGAACCTCACAGGGATATTGTGAAGATCTTACCTTTTCCCTTAATTGTATAGCTTATATTTTCTTAGCTTTATGCTGCCCATGCTGAACACTGAAGTTGTACATTTCATAATTTAAAAATGGCAACAGCAATGGGGTACCTGCATGTTTGCTACCTTGACCTAGTTAGAGAAAGGGCAAAAAAATATATATGAGAATAGGCTAGGATATGTAAATGGAATGTGCTGCCTCTTTATATTTACCAGCCCTTTTCAAGTCATTGATGCAAAGAAATTATAATCTCCAGTTAAATAAGTTTTTTTAGGAGACATTTTACTAACTGATGATCTTTGACAGTAAAGCTGCTGTTAAAACATGTGAGCAATTTTTTTAAAAAAAATGTTGAACACTCCAAATTTCAAATGATGTGAGTTCCAGTCTTCCTTCCCATCTTTGCTGTGATGTTCAACCCACTCTTGCTAAGTTTTTTAGGGCAGGGCTGCAAGCTACGGGAAGCAAAATGGATAGTTTGATTAGAGAGAAATCATTGTTCACATTTACTACTAATAATAATTAGAGAACCCCTTTTGAACTTTTTATGTGCAAAGGAAAATGAATGAATTTGAGACATTTGGGTCTGAAGATTGGGTCAATATTGCTTAGCAGATAGTAGAACAGCTGGATGTTACCCTAGAGTGAATGTTTTGAATAATTTCTTTTATGTAACTGACAGATGAGCAAAAGAGGGGGAAAGGAAAAGGCTGGATGAAGCAACTTGTCATTTGCCAGAAGGAGCCAAGATACAGGACTCAAAAGCATCTCTTTATTTCTCCTGTGTTCCAGGTGCCTGAAAGCTGCTTCAATTGTATCGGTGTGGGAGGATTAGCCGAGTTCTTCATGTCAAACCTCCAACCCTTGCCGTCCAGCTGCCTTGTTTGTGCCCCACCAGCTGCGCTGCTCCTGCCTTGAAGGATACAAAATGTACCAGAGCTTAACTCTTGCCCCCAACCCTGGCCAATCGGCATACTCCCATGACTCCAGCAACTTCCTGCACTCACCAGCCAGCCCGGCCGTCTACGTTCCCACCAGCCGCATGCCTTCCATGCTCCAGAGCCTGCCTTACCTGCAGAGCTGCGAACCTGCCCACCAGGGCCACCCCCTGAGCAGCCACCCAGGATGGGCGCAGCCGGCCAGCGCCGAGGCCTCGCACTTCAATGGCAGCAGCCCTCACGCACCGCCGGGCTTCTCCTACTCTCACAGCCCCCCTGGCGGTAGCGGTGCTGGACGAGAGGCAGGCTACCAGAGCCCCTTGTTGCTGGGCACTGGGGGGCGCGACCAGTATGGCAATGCTCTGGTGCGCTCGGTCAATGGCTCCTACTCCAGCCCTTATTCTGGGGCTTACGTCAGCTCTGCGGAGATACCGCCATCTTGGACTGCGGGACACTTTGAGAGCAGCGTCTTGCACAGCCTTCAGACGCGACAGGGGGGCTTGCCTGGCCGGAGACCCACATTTGGTATGTAGCGTATCTCCCACTAATAGAATTGTAGAGTCAGAAGAGACCCATGGGCATAGCTAGGGGGCAAGGGGGGCAGCTGGGCCCCTAAATCAAGTAAATAAGTAAAGATACTTAAAGTAGAAAGATTTTTGGCAGGTTTTTCTGAGCACTTGGGGTCAAAAGAAAGTAATTTAAAACAATGGTCATTGAGACATTTCATTCCGAATCTGCTGGACAGAGCCAGACAGAGGATGTTAACAGGTGGGTGTCCTGCCCCACCCCACAACATAAATCCTGGCTACACCCATGAAGGGACCCAAAGGGTCATCCAGTCCAACTCTCAGAAGCCATTCCAAGAGCACATGGTTCTCTGCTATTGAGGACCTTTTGATTCTGGGTAGGACACTTTTTTTCAGACCTGAGGGCATTATGATAGAGGCCTTATCACCCATTTCTTTTGTCCAGAAATTATCATTAAAACAGTTGCTTAAAAAGCACCATGAAAGTCCGCGAAACCTGTCAATGAATGTTAAAGAAGTGTGCGGTCTGTGGCCCAGTTCAAACATAACATGAAGCTGAATGGTGGCATAATAGCATGAATGAGGAAACGCACAGGCTCCCAGAATGTCAACCAGAGTTGTTTTGCTTCTCCTCGGGCCGTTCTGTTTCTGCCTTGCACTGACTGAAGCCATGGTTTGGCTTAGTGCATCATCCAATCCCAGGGTTGTGGTTTACCTCACTTCTGATAAACCATGAGCTGTAACCAAAATCTGTCCTTATGGTTTGTCTGGGAGTGTTAAACCACAAGCTTGGATTCGGGCAACATGCAGCTAAGCCAAATCATGGTTTCACTCGATGCAGCAGCAGAATGACTGGAAGCTCAAAACAACCACTATCTCCTTTCTAGAAGCCTGCATGTTCATGCTAAGTCATGGTTTGACCTGGCATTCTATGCAAACAAGGACTATGTTGAGTGTATCACACTGTGTTCAGTACTTGTCTGTTTGACCTACAATCTGTCTCTGGTCTTAATTTGTCCTAAGCAAACCCACCCCAGTTCCAGAACCTGGGAAATTCTGTAAATCCACTTTGAGTCAAAATGTGCATGTAGTCAAAGGCAGGGATGGGGAAGCTATGGTCCTCTAGATCTTTTCAGACTCAAACTCCCATCAGACCCAGCCAGCATGGCCAGAGGATGAGGGATGATGGGAGCTGGAGTCCATCAACATTCAGAGGGGCAGAAATTCACTACCCATGGCCTAAGAGGGCTTTAATGCTGTATTGAAACCAGTATCTAGTTGATTCATAATTGGTTCTCCTCTAAGGTCGGCTGGAAATTATAGGTCTGTGAAAAGGGGATTATTTAAGAAGCAGCTTCCAAGAGGTGTCTGAGAGACATTGGCTATGATGGCTACCATTGGTGCATCTGAAAGCCAAGCCAAGGCAAGAAGGCATTTGAGTCAACACTGTTGAAAACAGAAAGCTGAACTAGATTGATGGCTCTCTTGATGTTCTTAAGCTGGTTTGAAATTGGTTTCAAAGTTTGTCCTGGATTTTTGTTTTGTTTTATGTGGGTGCATGCATAACTACATCATTCATTTTAAAAATGCTAAGTCTCCCTTTATGGAATAATCTGCTAGAGGTAGTATTGTAAATGGGAGCACTGGAGAGAGGGATGAAATGGAATATTAGAAGAATGAAAACTTTGGCCAAGACAAATCCTCCCCACACCCTGGCATTCAAGAATCTCCAGCAAATGCTGCCTTGGCTTGGAAATGGTAAAAACTATTTTGGGGGTTCTGTGTGCATGGGACATGGCTTTGGAAGCCAAATTCTGTCCTTGGTGTGGCTGCAGACAGGCAATATATGGGAACCCTTCGGTTTAGAATATGTGCCTGATCGCTGTAGTTAGTGTTCAGATGCAAAGGAACTTGAGAAAAACACTTGGATATTTTTCATGCCCTATATGGGAAGGAGCAACGTAGTTTGTTTCAGGCAATGAATTCATTTGCTTGTCTCTCAGTAAGCGCTTGTGTGCTGGATATATTTTGGCTGGCAGTAGCTTTCGATATATTCATAAACCTATGTGCATTTTGCTCAGTGTGCAATGGCTCTGTGTCGTTATATATCTGTTCAGGTCTTATGCTGTTTCCTAGGCAAAGTGCCTTTCTACACAGTATGTGGTGTGTGTGTGTGTGTCTGTGTGTGTGTGTAAAACTGCATCCAAGAGGGAGAAAAGGCTTTGATGGCAACGCTCTGTATTGTCGCACTACATTGTATCAAATGTTCACAGCACTTCAGAAGTATTTCTACGAATGCAGATACCAATGGGGCTGACATGAGACTGAGAGTGCAGGATCTAGCCCAGTAGTGTGCAGTCAGGTGGACTAGGGGGACTAGACTAGTCCTCTAAATGTTCCTGGTAAATTAAAGTATCAAAGCCTGGTGCCTCCTTCCTAAAGCCTGGGAAGATTCTGCCTGGCTCAGGGAGGGAGACACGATGCTCCAAAAGGGTCCAAGAGCTCTCCCTTCACCTTCCCGGCTTTGGGAAGGAGGCAGGAGGGCTGCAGTATCTTGTCAGAGGCCTGGTGCATGTGACCCCCATTGCCCCTGCAAGCTGGTGCCTCTGGCCTAACTGTTCCCCTGCGGAAAATTTCGCTGCACACCACTGGTCTAGCCTGAAGTCAATGTTCATTTGGAAGTGAGCTGGCGCTGATTTGCATGCAGGGCACTTGCGCCTAAGTCTGCTTCTGAGTTCATGACTTCCAGATCTGAACTAGGGATGGAGTGTTCCCTGCTAGTGGCTGTGCCTCACCAGCATATTGCCCTTAGATCTTTAGCCCCATCAAGAGCAGCAAGAATGGGAAGGAATTCTGGGGTCAAATGCTCATCTATATCAAACTTTGGCCTTGCCTTGCTTTGCTTTGCACATGGATTGGGTCTGTGTGGGTGGGTGTAAGTGTGCACATCTCTTATTTCTTTTGAATGAACAACTGCACTCCAGTGGGTTTTCCATCAATTTTCATCGGTAGGGGATTTCAGAATGGAATTGGAAAGTCTTGATTTAGCATGGGGACTAGCACTATGCTATCAACTATTTTATATGCCATTGCAGCATATGTTAGGATAATAGCATATTGTCCCATTGGGCTGGGAGGCAATTGGGCTTTTTCCTGGGAATATTTTGGAAGGGTTGTAGTTGTAGTAATGTGGTGCCTGGTGAGGATTTTGCCTTTCTGATAACATTTCTCGTTACCTGTCACCTGTTAACATAAAAAAGAAAGAGGTGGCCCTCTTCAAATGAAGGGAAGTTTTCAGCACTGCAGATTAAAAATAGGAGCATCTTCTGTTCTTTGGACATTTGACTTTAAAAATCCAGTTCCCTGAGATTTTATCTGTCGCTTTAAAAGAATCATTTCAAAACAGGGGTCTGAATTCCAGTTTTAAATTGGTGGGTGTTTCTACTGAACTGGATTATGGCTCAAAGTTTAATGCTTGAAGTTGCAAGAACAGTGACTGACAAGGGAAGATTGACAACGGAAAATGGCGCTAGTCTCCAAAACACATGCAAGAACTTTTATATCTGTACCTTGATGCCATGTAGCTTGGTCCTATGCATGTTTACTTGACAGTAAATCCGCTGAATTCAATTAGGCTTCCTCTTAGGTAAGCAGGCAGAAGATTCTGACATTCCATTCCACAACCAGCCCTCGATTTTGCCCGGATTCGTTGCTTCCCAAACCCTTCTCTCTCTTCCCAAACCCTTCTTGCGAAACTTCAGAAGGGAAAAGATTTTTTGTTGTTGTCGCGCCCTTCCAAAAGCTGCCTTGGTGAATAGCCTTTCTATAGTCACATATAGGCTATGAAAGAGCCACGGGGTTACACTTTCCCCATGGAGTCAGAAATAACAGCGGTGGTTTCGGGCGCCCGGAGTAATCTGCCTCCCTCCACAATATCCATGTTGTGCAGCTTTCAGAGGTGACGCTGTTTGGTGTTTAAATGAGGTGAGCAGATTTACAGCCGTTTCGCCTTTTAAAAGTAATTTATTGGGGTAAATGAGTTGAGATCTGAACAGACTCCAAGGCTCCTAATTCGCCTTCGCCCAAACAAATCTCTCGCCCTCCCCGGCTACGTGCGCCGTGGCACCATCCATCAACACCCGCTCAAAATCGCCCAGCCATAGGACCATCAAAGCCGCTTCGCTTCGCTTTGGGTTCACACTGCTTTTTTTTACAAAAAGAAAAGAAAAGAAACAGAAACAGAAAAGAATCTCAATCAAACGCACTTTCTTAAGCTGGCGCTTGGTTAATAAAACCCGCCTCGATCTGGTTCTTGCAACTATCCCTTCGTTTGGGCTTTATGTTCCGAAGTCCCTTTTGAATCCTTTTGAAAGACGACTTAATCTTTTGTTATCTTGGTTGGATGGCCCTGTCTCTGCTTTTCTCCGCCCTTTATCTTTATCCTAAGAACAAAGCAGAATTAGTCCTCGAGTCTTAAAAGGAGAAAAAGTGCTTTAACCTTGAGTCCCACCGCCAGAGTGAACGGAAAGGCTTCGGCAGTAAAATTTGGGGGTTGTGACCCAAATCCCCCCCCCCGCATGGGGAACGCCATTCTAAACACTGCCTTTCTTCTACTTTTCATCACCTGGAAATATTTTCGCATTCGAATGAAAGAAGCAAGCAAAGAGCCGTTGCGAAGTGAATTCGCCGCTGCCCTTTCAGTTCAGCTGGATTTTGCAAAACCCACGGAACCAGGTCTCCCTAGCATAGCAGGAAATATTCTTGAATTTCCAAAATGCATTGTTTCTGTATTTAGGAGCTGCAACCTGTAGTTTAGACAGGTCCTGTGCATTTTTATTCAGAAATCCCACTGTCTTCAATGGGATTTACTCTCAAGTAAGTGATCAGAAGACTGCAGCCCTAATTAAACCACTGGATTTTTTTTTTTTACTTTGAAATAAGTTTAATTGATTGCAGTATTAATCTACCCCCCCCCCAAAAAAGTATGGAGGTTCAGGCTTGCAGTTTAGGATTTACAAAATAATAATATGGGTGTTTAGTAGGCAATAAGACTATTAATCCTGTGCCTAGGTGATCTGGGAGTAGATCCCTGAACACAAATTCCCTAAAAGTGGAATTTACTTTCGAATAAGCACATAAGGAGTGAGTTGAACTTAATTTTGTGGGGCTAGTAGGATGAAATTCTATGTACTATTTGTGTACATTATTTCCTTAAATTCTAAACTGATCTTCAACAGAAGAGTCCAGGACGGGGTGTGAAATAATTCTGGATATGAAAGTGGAAAAATGCAACATTTTCAACCTGCGAGGAATTTCCACAATGTAACAACAACAACAAAAAGTTGGGTCCCTTTACACTTCCATCAGTATCAAAATGGCATGTCTTTTCCCTCCCTGCTACTTACATTTGGAATTTTCTCAGCCGTTTAAATCAATATATTAAATTGCAAAGGAGCATGTCATTAAAAACTCCTTTCAAACATAACCACCAGTTTTTTGCTTGATTATTCTTTTTTCTGAGCTTGCAGAGATCAGAGTCATTGGAAGTATGAATTGTATTCCTAAGTCATGCTTAGAGGAGGACCGTTGAAATAAATAACTGAAGACTGTTGATTTTCAGAGTGTCTACCTGGAATATGACATATTGTGGGTGGCATCAAACTGCACAGCACATTTGCATCCCCGTCAGTACCAGTTTTGCAACCTAAGTTACAGAATTCAGTCTACAGATCATTTTGCACAGCCATACGTCTACTGAGGTTTGGGGTGTGTGGTTTTATTTTATTGTGTTACGGAAATTGTGGAGCTGTAACAGATTAACTCCGTCAAACAAGTGATCAACTAAATTATTTAGATACTTGAAATGACTTGTCTTTGAGTAGGGGTGCTAAATCATATTAAAAGTCATATCAACTGTTAAGCATATTTATAATTTTCATATCAAATCGATACATTTTCCCCCTGTGTTTGTATCATTATACCTTCTAATAGTTCAGTGACTAGAATCAGCATTCTTGACAGTGCAGTCCTCTGTTTATTCACTCAAAATGCAAATCCTGGTTCCAGTTGTTCTTACATTCCAGTGCATTTAGGATTGCACCCTTAATCAGGAAGTAAACCCTATGGAGCTCAGTGAAAGTTCAGAAGGAAACATATAATAAGACTGGGCTGTTGCTCTGTGATGTGAAATGTATCCACAGGGATTGATGGTGGGAGGGATCAGTTGAATTTGCATCCCTCGGCCAGTAAAGCGAGATGAGCTCCACAATTCCAAAGTCGCCTGTGACTGAACTTAACGGTTAGGGGTCCCTTTATTCTTTACCTAAATATCCTTGGGAGAGAGCGATGCTGTGCATCACTGAAATAAATTAGCACTGAGGCAATTCCTTTTTCATAAACTGTTTAAGCCTTGCTTATTCCTCCTTCAGTGTTTGCTCTTAATGTTCCATGAGCTGCAAGGGTTGGTTTCTTTTGATAGTAAGCATTCAGTACTGTTTTCTCAGTTTGTGAACTTGATACTTTTGTTTGTTTGTTTGTTTGTTTTTAACTTTACAATGGCTAGGCTAAGTACATATCCCTTGATTGCAATCCAGAGTTAAATGTCTAGATATGAAGCCCGGTCCACGTTTTACTTGGAAATAAACCAGTGGTATTCAATTAAGCTTTCCCATGAATGAGTTGAGGGTGACTGTATTCTATTATCTGGTATGGGCACGTGCACACAACAGTATTTACCTGAAAATCAAATGCTTTCTGGTTGTTTCCCTGGTTTGATGATTTTAACATAGAATATATCTTTACGCATCAGAGTAGGTACTCCTTTAACAGAGCAGCAGATCTGTGTATTTTTAAGTTGCTGTATCAAAAATGAAGGGATGTGGGTGGCGCTGTGGGTTAAACCACAGAGCCTAGGACTTGCCGATCAGAAGGTCGGCGGTTCGAATCCCCACGACGGGGTGAGCTCCCGTTGCTCAGTCCCTGCTCCTGCCAACCTAGCAGTTCGAAAGCACGTCAAAGTGCAAGTAGATAAATAGGTACCACTCTGGCGGGAAGGTAAACGGCATTTCTGTGCACTGCTCTGGTTCGCCAGAAGCAGCTTAGTCATGCTGGCCACATGACCCAGAAGCTGTACGCTGGCTCCCTCGGCCAATAAAGCGAGATGAGCACCGCAACCCCAGAGTCAGTCACAACTGGACCTAGTGGTCAGGGGTCCTTTACTTATCAAAAATGAAAGGTCTAAAACAAAACCTAGGTAGTAGGTGACCTATTTTAAAACGAGGCATTTCTTCTAATGAGAGAAATAAGAACAGCTCTTCTTTGAAGTTGCCTGTTGAATGACTTTTAAATAGATCCTCTTTACAACAATGGCCACTTATTGTATAGAAATGGGAGATCATTGTCTGAAGGGTTTATCACTGGAGCTTTATATAAAGTGTATAAATACCGAAATAAATTGAACATTATTTCAGTAACCAAAAATGAATAGAGGGGAAAAGGTGATCCCTGATGTTTCACTTATAAAGAATAGATCAGAGAATCTTAGAGTTGGAAGGGACCCTGAGGGTCATCTAGTCCAACCCCCTGCAATGCAGGAATCTAAACTAGTATCCATGACAGGTTGCCAACCAACCTTTGCTTGAAAACCTCCAACAAAGGAGAGTCCACCACCTCTCATTGGAGTTTGTTCCACTGCTGAACAGCTCTTACTGTCAGAAAGTTTTTTCCGAATGTTTAGTTGGAATCTCCTTTCTTGAAACTTGAAGCCATTGGTTCGAGTCCTACCCTCCAGGGCACGAGAAAACAAGCTTGCTCCCTTCCTCCATGTGACTGCCCTTAAGATATTTGAAGATGGCTGTCATATCTCCTCTTCTCCAGGCTAAACATACTGAACTCCCTCAACCATTCCTCATAAGGCTCAGTTTCCAGACCCTTGATCATCTTGGTTGCCCTCCTGTGCACACGTTCCAGCTTGTCAACACCCTTCTTAAATTGTCAGCTTTCTCCTCCTCAGTCTCCGTGTTGCTCTGTCACCCAATAGCATTTTTCCATGTTCCCAATACAGAGGACTTACCACTTGCTTGTTCTTCCTCTTCCTTCAGACATAGTCAAAGAAACCCTTTTAATTATTTTTAACCTCTCTCTCTATCGATTAAGGGTGCATTCCTGTACAGTGGTACCTCTGGTTACGTACTTAATTCATTCCGGAGGTCCGTTCTTAACCTGAAACTGTTCTTAACCTGAAGCACCACTTTAGCTAATGGGGCCTCCCGCTGCTGCCGCGCAGCCGAAGCACAATTTGTGTTCTCATCCTGAAGCAAAGTTCTTAACCCGAGGTAACATTTCTGGGTTAGTGGAGTCTGTAACCTGAAGCGCCTGTAACCTGAAGCGTCTGTAACCCAAGGTACCACTGTATTGGAGTTTTTGGGCTATGTTTCTGCAACACCAGATACATTCTACAGGCATCACAGCTACATCAGTCAAACTCCTCTGGTTCCATGGCTGCAATGCAGCAATTTGGGTGATACACTTCACACATGCCTCTAGGACATGGTTATGCTCCTTCCATTGGACAATACCACCAGTTCTGGCATGGGACATTTCCCTCCCATCAGCTTCAATGAAAGGCAAGACAACAAAAGCCACTCCTGTGTCAAAAGCCTCCCATACAACTTTACCATGGAAGAGCATAGGATACAGCCCAATTGCTGGCCATCACCTTTTCAACTTGATAATTGCAACCTGGAAAGGGAAGAGGAATTCCCTGGTGCAGATTTGAACTGGAAGTCCCCTGAGCATGCCTGTACATGCTTTGGAAACTGCACCACAGGATTCCTGTTTCTGGCTGCTGTCAAGCTGTCCATCTTCATTTCATGCGAGAGCAAAAAGAACCCATGTTGGAACTTGCACCAGCAACCACTGGAGTATGTTTGTAGCTCCTTTGCATGCTTTTTGTGTATTGGGGTGGGGTGACCTGCATTGGTGACTGGAGACCATTGGTGACTGGTAGAGCAGAGGGAAGGAAGGTCCAGGAATAGATGGAGAGCCAGAACCAATGACAGGACCCCCTCCTTCTCCCTGCTGAGTTCTGCCAGGGCAACATTGAGACTGAGGAGGAGAAAGGTGACAGGCACTGCCACCCTATGGATTGGATGAAAGATATAAGATAGGCAGGTGGAGGCTGGCTGAGGGCAGACTCAGGTTGGTGTGGGGCAGTGCCATATTCACACTAATGGACCAGCCTCCACTGGCATGATAGACGTCTCCTCTGGGTAGTCTTCATGGGTTGGCTTTCTTGGTGTGTGAGTGTCATCAGCAAAATAGTCTGTGGGCATATCTGTCACTTTATGTATCTTTGCCCGATGCTCCACATAATTTGGCTTTGCTTGGCCCATCAATCGTTTAAAAGCCCAACTGCATATAGAATCTGAAACTGGTGGGAAATAACACGCCGCAATGTGTCTAGATCTCTAAATACAACTGGATAAGGGAGCATCTCTCTAAAATGCATGTGACTTCATACACATGGCACCAGAGAGGCCAACATCTTGATGTGTAGTTAACACACCCTATACTTTGGATTGCATGTAATGCAATTCCATTTATAAACGTAGACTAGCACATGTTCACTTTCAAGTATGCACGCACATTTAACACTCTTATACATACCTTGACATTTGTTTTAAATTGATTTTAACATTGCATTTTTAAATTGTAAGGACCTTGTACTGAAGGGTAGGTAAGAAACTGAATAACTAATAATGACAATAAGAACACCACATGCATGGTCTTCTTCATGTGGCCCCCACTCTAGCTATTATATGACTTAGGGCTACAACCCTGTTCATTCTTTTAAAGGTAAAGGGACCCCTGACCATTAGGTCCAGTCGTCACCGACTCTGGGGTTGCGGCGCTCATCTCGCTTTATTGGCCTAGGGAGCCAGCATACAGCTTCCGGGTCATGTGGCTAGCATGACTAAGCCGCTTCTGGCAAACCAGAGCAGCGCACGGAAATGCCATTTACCTTCCTGCTGGAGCGGTACCTATTTATCTACTTGCACTTTGACGTGCTTTTGAACTGCTAGGTTGACAGGAGTTCATTCTTTTAGATGGGAGTAAATTAAACATAGTAGGACTTGCTTCTGTCTGTGCATAGGATTGCATAGCTCACCATGATTAAGCACTAGGTGGATGCAGCCCATATCTATATATTCCCTATATTTATCCTTCTTCTGGATAAAATGTGTCTGTCGTACCTATACCTCCATTTTAATATTATCAGATTCAATCTCTATTTAATGGTCTCTTCATGCATTACAGTGGCATTCAGTTCCGAAAGTGCATTGGTGGAGGTCGGCTGTGAATCTGCCCTTTTTATTTGGTCAAGAGCACCTTCTAAATTATATCCTCTTATGATCCAAGCCTATGTAGCTAAGGTGCATGTGAGGCATTCTTGGTGCAGTACCTGAAAACTGTGGTGTCCTCTTTCCCTTAAATATTGAGTTGTCTTTCTCCAAGCATGCAGACTTCTATTTAAAAAATAAACAAATGAGTGAGGTTAAGTCAGGAAGTGGCAGACTTCACTTACTGTCCCCCGCCCCCCGCCACCATCTGACAAGCTAAGTCAATCCTTACTATTAAAACTCTTGCACCTGGTTTGGCTGTGGTGTGCATCTGCTGCAAGGAATGAAAGAGAAACCAGTCTTTGGTGGTATTTAACATAGGTCTGACTCCTTTAAGCCTTGGCTTGACCTACCAGTTTAAAACTCGCAGCCCTAAAAGCAAAACATAGGGCAAATGTGTGTGCCTGAAGGCTTAGCTCTGACCCTCCATCGGAGCAGAGCTCTCGAGTCCTTGCTTACCACGAGGTCAGTATTTGGCCGGCGTCATGCTGTAAAACTGACTCCGAACCTCTACCCGGAGTCTGTCATTTGTCAGCTCTGAGCTGTCGGTGTGATTGATTCCCAGGCCTCAGTATCCCCCAACCTTCTCCATCAGCCAAAGACATTCCACCAGGTCTTGTCCAGTCTGCCTGTCGCCACCAGTCAGCAAGCAGCGCTGCTTGATTGAAATCAGGGAAGTCTCCCGATCTCCTCCGCCTCCCCTTTTATCATCTTACAATAACATCATCCCGATCATTTATTTTTACAACCAAGCTGGGTCGCACTTCATCTCGCCCATTCAAACAGCACAAAGCAAGGGTTTTTCTGGGGGCAAATGGAAGCCATACACTCCTCCGAGTCTCCGCCGATGTCAGTGGCTATTAGTTATGGCTGCTTCATTGACAATACATTTATTACTAATTAAAGAATACAAGAAATTAACTGAAAAGGGGTGTGTGTGGACGGAGTGGAGGGGATGTAGATCATTTTTCTACTTGTCTAGTTCAGGAGACACATGGCTGCTTCTTAAAAACATAAGAAAGAGACAAGTATTGGGAATTTGATCGTTTTAATGCTCTGATGCTAAACCCCTTGGGAAAAATCTAGACGCACCTCAGCTTCGTGAACATCAGTGAAATCCTAACAATCTATTTTGTTTGTATTTCTATCCCGTCTCTCATTGGAAGGCATATAAAAACACAGAACTACAACAGTACACACAGCCACACCCATAACCCCAAAACAATCCATACAGCACACTGCAGATTGAAGGGACAAAATGCAATCTGGAAGAAGATACCAATGATACAGTAGGGTGGCGCTGTGGTCTAAACCACTGAGTCTCTTGGGCTTGCCGATCGGAAGGTCAGCGGTTCGAATCTGCATGAAGGGGGGAAGTTCCCGTTGCTCTGTCCCAGCTTCTGCCAACCTAGCAGTTCGAAAGCATACCAGTGCAAGTAGATAAATAGGCACCTCTGCAGTGGGAAGGTAAACTGTGTTTCCATGTGCTCTAGCCAAGCGGTTTAGTCATGCTGGTCACATGACCCAGAAAGCTGTCTGTGGACAAACGCCGGCTCCCTCGATCTGAAAAGCAAGATGACCACCGCAACCCCATAGTCATCTTTGACTGGACTTAACCATCCAGGGGTCCTTTACCTTTTTTTACCTTTTCCAATAATACGAAGTGGAAACTATTGGTTTTAAGTGTTCACTTCTCATATCATTGACTTGTAGAGTTGTCAGGGACACAAAGGGTCATCTAATCCAGGAATTAGTTCTATATATACTGATAGCAATACTGTAATTGAGTACTGATGGTACCTCGTGTCTCTTTCTCCTTCCAACTCACCTCTCTTTTCAAGATCTCTCAACCTCTTGGCTCTCACCTAAGACACAACCCATCCAAACTGGTTCTCTCTCTCAGGGCCCAAGCACAGTCCCTTGTGTTAAATATATACACATTGTGGTCATTTTCTTGTCTCTTGGTCACACTGATTGGGCTTCCTGCCCTTAGTCCAATGTTATACCCGACTTACAAATGTTTGTGCACACAATAACCCAAGGCTGTGTTTGAGGAGAGCAGGAAGGAATGCCCTCTACGAGGTTCACCCTTCCTTGAAATTCTTTGCCCTTCTTTCACTCCCAGGGAATGCAATGGATTTCTCTGGGGGAAGGTTGGGGGGCAGGTTTATCCTTTAAAATTATTGACACGATAAAAGGGTGTTAGTGTTGGATTTATTCCTGTTCACCAGTTGCAGTGCTTGTAATAATTTATTATTATTTATACCCCGTCCATCTGGCTGGGTTTGCGTAGCCATTCTGGGCGGCTCCAAACAGAATTAAAAGCACGATAAAACAGCAAACGTTAAAAACCTCCCTAAACAGGGCTGCCTTCAGATGTCATCTAAATGCCAGGTAGTTGTTTATTTCCTTGACATCTGATGGGAGGGCGTTCAACAGGGTGGGTGCCACTACCGAGAAGGCCCTTTGCCTGGTTCCCCAATCCACCATTTTACTGCTGCCCCAAGAGGCTATGGCGTACCAAAAGGGGGACAAAAATAAAGCCAGAATATTTGTGGTATGGATCCTGTGGGATTTCAGCAGGAAGTTAAGGGGATATGCACCAATTGGATGTGAAACAATGAGGCAACCGCACCCAAAATTGAAGGTACAAGCAGTATTGATGGTGGGATCTCTTGTGATTGTCCTGCCCCATCATGAGCACAAATTGTCATGAATGCAATGGAAATGATGTCTGGAGGGAGCCTCCGTAAGGAGTTTTAAAACCTAGCCTATAGGCTTTCTGGTGCCATCATTCCCATTCCATGACTTACTGTACTTCACGGTAGGAGATTTACCATTTCTGAGATCTGCTACGGTGTCTCTTGTCTCAATGCTATGAAGGGACTGGGTCCCCACTTGAATGCCTAACGAAATGTGTCTCGCCTTTTGTTTCACTTTCAGAGTTCTTGGAGGAATTCCCCGGAGATGGCAGAGAATGTGTTAACTGTGGAGCGATGTCCACTCCACTTTGGAGGAAAGATGGGACAGGGCACTACCTGTGCAACGCCTGTGGTCTATATCACAAAATGAATGGCATTAACCGGCCTCTCATCAAGCCCCAGAAAAGGCTGGTAAGTCTGGCTAACCCTCAGTTGGCTTCTGTTTTACTAAAGGATTCTCCACTTCCACCTTGTCTGGTCTTTAATATTGGATTGCCTCTTGTGTTTACTGCTTCTGGAGTCTTAGGTGTCAGGGGCAGGGTATTTTTCAAGCCAGGAGCCACACTCAGTCATGAGCAACCTTTCAGGGGCCACAAACCTACATGCCACTCTCCATCCAGGTGAGCCAGATGTCTTGTCACAGATCAAGGGCCTGGAAAAGGTATGAGGTGTGGACAGATTTCTACAGTTTCTGATTGAAATGCCTTGGGGCCACATTTAGGTCTGAAATCCACATTCTCTCTGCTTGAGGATGGTACCAGGGGTATGGAATTCTCTTCCCAGTGAAATCAAGTAGGCATCATCTGCAATGAGCTTCACAAGCCAACTTAATTCTTTATTATTTCAGCAAGCCGCCTTATGAAAACGATTTACAGTTTTTATCAGCTTCTTGTCAGATGACCCAACACATTTCTGTATTTCCACTGGATTTTATTCCTTACATTGTTTAGTTGAGGTTCTGCACATTGCATGGGAGGAAAGAGGGAGGGAGAGATTTCCGATATAGAAATGAATAAATCATAGAATTACAGAAATTGTAGACTTGGGAGAGATCACGGGGGTCGTCTGGTCCAATGCAGGAATCTTTTGCCCAATGGGGGGGCTCAAACCCACAACCCTGAGATTAAAAGTCTCATGTTCTACCAACTGAGTTATAATATTGTGGTCTGGCATGCATAGTGTTGATATTGTGAGTGGGCAGACTGATTTCCACACAGCACTTGCCTCCCTGTTTTGCTTCTAACCTGATAGGCAGATTAGAACTTCCATTTTCAGAGTCAGTAAAATCTACACGCCAGTTGCTGTGCCTTCCTGTTCTGGTTAATGGGCTTCCTGGAAGTATCTGGCATTATACTAGTTAAAACAGGGTGTTGGACACTCTCTCTCTCTCTCTCTCTCTCTCTCTCTCTCTCTCTGTGTGTGTGTCCTACCCACACACATACCCCACACCCCATGGGTCTGATCCAGCAGGTGGCTGCTTATATTCTGAACTCTTTGCAAACTGAGTGGATGCCAGTGCAGAGACCTTGGGACTCTTCTCTCCTCCTGCATGAGGAAAGCTGCCTGCCAGAACCCCCCTGGATCGGGCCCAAGGCCCATTTAGTCCAGCATTCTGTTCTCATAGCGACCAACGAGGTGCCTATGGGAAGCCCACAAGCAAGACCCCCGGGTGCAAGACCCATCTGCCCATTTGTGATTTCCAACAACTGGTATTCAGAGGCTTACTGCTGCCAGTACTGAAGGCACAAAGCCATCCTGGTGAGTAGCCTTATCTACCAGGAATCTGTCTAATCCAGTTTAATAAGCTTGAGTTTACATCCAGAGAATCTGGAAGCTGGGGGTGGTTCCTGTATCTTGTAGACCGGTGAGTTGTCAGTTTTAGATAGCGTTGCATTCTCTATGAAGCAGCAAATATAGTCTGTGGGTTCTCTTGCTTAAGGCTCAGGTTACTTTGGTGGCTAGGTATGTTTCTGACCAGCTTTGGTTTGTGAGTCAGCTGCAATCTTTCCTGGATCAGCTTAGCTGGTCTACGGTGATTCAAGCACTGGTAATCTTGAAGATAAGGCTGGTTTAGAAGCCATGACTGGTGCAGAATTCTGCAGCCTGTTTGCTATTGGGTGTTGGCTACTGCCAACATGGGACGCGGGTGGCACTGTGGGTTAAACCACAGATCCTAGGACTTGCCGATCAGAAGGTCAGTAGTTCGAATCCCTGCGACGGGGTGAGCTCCCATTGCTCGGTCCCTGCTCCTGCCAACCTAGCAGTTCGAAAGCACGTCAAAGTGCAAGTAGATAAATAGGTACCACTCCAGCGGGAAGGTAAACGGCGTTTCCGTGTGCTGCTCTGGTTCGCCAGATGCAGCTTAGTCATGCTGGCCACATGACCCGGAAGCTGTACGCCGGCTCCCTCGGCCAATAAAGCGAGATGATCGCCGCAACCGGTCAGGGGTCCCTTTACCTTTACTTTTTACTGCCAGCATATAACACCTATTATTATTTATGGTTTATTAAATTAGTATACCAACCACCATCCATAGATCTCAGGGTAGTACACTGCATAAAAATACAAGATAAAAACGCAAAAGACATAATAAAAACAAGAACGAAACAAACCCATAACACCCTTTCCACAAACACATTTAAAAGGAAAGAGAATGCTAACCAACCAAAGGCTTGATTGAAGAGGTATGTTTTTGCCTGGTACCTAAAGATGCATAATGAAGGTGCCAGGCAAACATCCCTGGGGAGAGCATTCCACAAACAGGGAGCCACTGCAGAAAAGGCCCCGGCTTGTGTTGCCGCCCTCTGGACCTCTGGAGGAGGCACACAAAGAAGGACCTCACATGATGATTGCAGGGTCTAGGTTGGACCTTGAGTTATTGTGGTTCTGAGCTGTTTGAGTTGAGGTTGCTCCACTAACTGCCAGTATGTTGAATGTACTAGGAGAAGAGCTGTGGCTCAGAGGCAGAGAATCTACCTTCCCTGCAAAAGGGCCTGGCTTCAATTCCTGGCATCTCCAGGTAGGGCTGGGATGGGAGAGGAGCCTTGGTCTGAAACCCTGGAGAGTTGCTGCTGCCAGTCTGTGTAGACGGTAATGAGCTAGACAGAACAATGGATCTCAATCAATATGGGGCAGCTTCCTATGCTTCCACCAACCTGTTTTCAAGGTCTTGCTATTGGCATACAAAGTCTTAAGCAACCTGGGGCCAGTGTGTATATGAGATCACCTTATTCCCCATTCCTCTGCCTGATCTTTGCATTCTGCCACTGAGGCACATCTGAAGATGCCTACAGGGTCAGACTCTCTTCAGCAAGAAAGTGTGCATTCAGTGTAGCAACTTTTATGGAACCTTTTGCAAAAGGTTCTTCATATATGTGACTTTTTCCACTTGCAATTTTATTCTGAATACATCCAAATGCAGGTTTTAAAACCACGTGACTGCTACTCCCTGCTTTTCTTTTCTTTTGGCCTGCTTTTCAGGTTTGGGGTTCCAATTTTAGGTTTCATAAAGGAAGCCCAAGCTTTCAAAACGCACAGCCATTCCCCAGATTCAGTCTGCAAAACTCTGGCGCCTCATGGTTGGAGTCAAGACTGCCTATGTTTACATTTAGCAACTTCACACTTCATCTAATTTTATACTCTGTGGCTGGACTCCAGCTAACTCGGAATAGACCCACTGAAAGTAATGACCCTAAGTTAGTCACGTTCATTAATTTCAGTGGGTCTACTCTGAGCAGGAATAGCATTGGATACAACCCAATGCGTCTTTCCCTTCCACTGTTACTCACCGAGCTTTAAAGTATAACATTCTTCCCTCCCCCTTCAGTTGTTTGGAGAATATATCTTACATCCCTGGCAGCAGAAATGTTGACTTGTCCTTGGGATTCCAAAGGTATTTCCCATGACCTTCCTCTGTCTTTGCTGGATTAAAACTATTCAAGCCCTAAACGTAGTATTGGAAAGGGAGAGGAAAATACACGGTGGCAGCTGGTCAGTGTGCACCTGGAATCTGCCTTAATCAAAGTTAAAAAGGGGGAGATTGTGGGCAAATTGTCCAATTCTAATTGCAGTGGTGAATGAAGATAAGCCCTTTCCTAGTATTGCTGTTTCTGTTGTTTCTTCTTCTTCTTCTTCTTCTTCTTCTTCTTCTTCTTCTTCTTCTTCTTCTTCTTCTTCCTCAATCACTCGTAGCCGAGTAAGAAGAAGAAGAAGAGTTCGGATTTGATATCCCGCCTTTCACTCCCTTTAAGGAGTCTCAAAGCGGCTAACAATCTCCTTTCCCTTCCTCCCCCACAACAAACACTCTGTGAGGTGAGTGGGGCTGAGAGACTTCAAAGAAGTATGACTGGCCCAAGGTCACCCAGCAGCTGCATGTGGAGGAGCGGAGACGCGAACCCAGTTTCCCAGATTACGATACTACCGCTCTTAACCACTACACCACACTGGCTCTTCCATTAACACGGTTTTAATTGTCTTCCATTAACACGGTTTTAACAGTGAGTCCGTAAGTGACTGTGGAGGCCAATTCTGGATCCACACGTCCTTCCACACCAGGGACATAAGTTTCTGGGCAGGAGTTGATCATGGTGAGGGTTTGCCAAGTATACCTTCCTCTTAGCACATTTCTCCCTTGCATCCTGAGTTCGAGTGTCTTCAAAGCCCATGACACCTTTGGTAAAGGCTGTTCTCCAATTGGAGCTCTCACAGGCCTGTGTTTCCCAGTTGTCGGTGTTTATACTACATTTGTTTAGATTTGCCTTGAGAGAGTCTTTGAACCTCTTTTGTTGACCACCGGCATTATGCTTTCCATTTTTAAGTTCGGAATAGAGTAGCTGGACATGAAGATAAGATCTAACCTAATATTGCTGGTTAACCTCCCCTTAGCCCCCTCTCCGAACCAAGCGTGCATCTGGAATCAGAGTTTGACTAAGAACTAAAGTGCCTGGAGAAGGTTAGCCAGAGGGGAGAGTTGTCCATCTCTTTCCCTCAGATTCATAGGAAGGGACCACGAGGATCATCTAGTCCAAACCCCTACAATGCAGGCATCTTTTGCCGAATGTGGGGCATGGACCCATGGCTGTTCCTTGGGTGCTCACACAGTATGATCAACAGATGTACAATTTGTGCACACAAATCATTGAGCTGCACACTGACACATTTATTCACAGGTAACATTCAACAAGTCTACACCAGAGTACAAAATAGTTGAGCTGCCTTTCACACAAACACTTGTGTGTGTGTAGAGTCAACCATATAAAGAATTGGAGAAAATAATTGTTCAGCTGAGTATCGTGTGTCGTTCGAACCACAGTGATTCTGGGTGCAACTCTCCATCTTGGTTCAGTCCTCTGGCTTTGTAGCTGAGGCTGCGTACGAGCCTTTCCTGCGTGCTTTGAATGAAACACATTACAAAGTCCACGATACCAAAAGCTTATCAGCTGCATTTGGCTGCCGAGTGCAGTCTGGGGTGGACTTTCTGTTTTAAGGGCTCGGTCTGGTTTTGTATAAACAAACACATCGGGGCGCAATGTTGAAGTCAACAACTTCCTAGCCAAGGTCAAAGCTCTGCAAAGGCAGAGTGGCATAGGAAGAGGGGGGAGGAATTCACTTTCTCTTTTTAAAAAAGCACAGTAAGAATAATGCTGGAGCTTTTGCAACAAATGTGCCTCCCTCCCTCCTTCCCTGACAACCAAAATAGACCTTAGTCTTTTACCACTAATGCCAAATGCTGGAGAGAATTTGTAATCTGACTGTTTCTCTTCTGGAAGAGTAGTCCTTTTCCTCCAGGGCTCATCTGCTATGGTCACAGTCAGACCATATGTTTCGATCACTCTTATATGTCTTTAAACAGTCATAGCTACCCCCAAAGAATCCTAGGAACTGTGGTTTGAAGGGGGCTGATAGCTGATAGGAGACCCTTAAGAAATGGCATTTCTTAAGGATCTTGTTTTGGGGGGGAAGCCATGCCACTGTTTGATCAAACAGTATCACAGCAATCCTTACAGTCCTAGTTGATTTTACTTTAATTAACAATATTGTGATCTGTCGACACTTTTTTTCATTATCGTGATCACAGTGTTTAACCAATAATTTTGTTGAGGTCTGTAGCGTTGGCCATTTTTGCTGTAGCCGCTGTAGAACGTGACCTGGCAGAGGAGGAGGGATGACCCCATATTACATATTATTATATAAAGCAGTGGGAGAAAACAAACACAAAACATTCAGGCCTGGACCTGGAAAGCCCAAACCTGTGCCTAGAAATGGGGAACAAACGTGTGAGTGAGCATTTAGGAACTTCACAACCAGAATGCTAAAATGTGTCATTCCACTATGTCTTCCTGAAATGCCGGTCACCACTGTGGTCTTTGCAGTACTTCTCATTCTGATTCCTGCTCCCCTTCACTTAATTCATCATTTGTGGGGACCAAGTTTTTAATAGCAAAACAAACGGATGCGCAGTTTTTTTGCATTGTGGGTAATTTCCAAGGCGATGGGGTGATGCTCACGAAGAACTGATACTTTAAGGGTGTGAAATATTATTGAATCACCTAAAGTGAGAGTATGTTAGTTTGCAAGATGTATCTGCTGCAGGACTACACGATATCAAGCTGCCAGTTTGGGGTGGAGGGTTAGAGAGCCTTCCCTCGTCACAGAATCATAGAACTTTAGAGTTGGAAGGGACCCTGAGGGTCATCTAGTCCAACCCCCTGCAATGCAGGAATCTCAGCTAAAGCATCCACGTCAGACCTCTGCTTAAAAATTCAGCCTCTGTTTAAAAACCTCCAAGGAAGGAGAGTCCACAAACTCCAGGCTAAACATACTCAACTCCCTCAACCATTCCTCATAAGGCTCAGTTTCCAGACCCTTGATTGTCTTGGTTGCCATCAAAGCTTCCTGGATATTTTTAAAACACTTCTACACACACACACACACACAGAGAGAGAGAGAGAGAGAGAGAGAGAGAGAGAGAGGGCTAACTTTTCATGTGAAAGGATGAGTACTTGTTTTCACCAGGCACAAATCCAGTGGTATGATTCTCACGCTGGCATCTGTGCAGCAAATCATCGCAAACTTCACATGGAACCACTGATTGCATGTAGCAGTCAAAATATGTTTCCCTGTTTGGGTCAGAGACTTAGCAGTGGAACAAGTTGGGCTCCATAATTCTAACTCGTAAAAGTTTCTCATTTGAAGCCCTTAAAAGTGAAGGGGTTGCAACAGAGCCAGAGAATCTCATAATTTTCTTCATGAACATGGGCACATGTATGACCACACCTTGAAGAAGGCACCAGGGGCTGGTGAGAATTGCCTTGGGCGGTAGTGGTAGGAGATTCAGCTCATCCAGGTACCCTTAGCATTGTCAGTTCTTGCATTGTAATTGTTTACTATTCTGCTTGTTTACACAACCATCGTGCGAGGAAGACCACTGGGTTATTTCTCTCTCTGTCTCCCTCCCTCCCTCATTCACTGTGTGTGTGTGTGTGTGTGTGTGTGTGTGTGTGTGTGTCTGTGTGTGTATACCGTATTTTTCGCTCTATAAGACGCACCAGACCATAAGACGCACCTAGTTTTTGGAAGAGGAAAACAAGAAAAAAAATATTCTGAATCCCAGAAGCCAGGACAGCTTTCATCCCACTGCCCAGGGGAGGCTGCACACAGCTAAGGCTCCCCCAAGAGCTGCGCTCCCTTTAAAGAGCGCGCGGAGTGTGTGCGCGGCTCTTCAGAGGGAGCGCTGAGCAGAGCCTCCCACCTGCATTCACTCCATAATGCACACACATTTCCCCTTACTTTTTAGGAGGGGAAAAGTGCATCTTATAGAGCAAAAAATATGGTATATACAGGGTGAGTCCTTTAAAAGAGGCCCCGTGGATATAGAGTACACATGTTCCACAAGGCCTCTTTTAAAAGACTCACCCTGTATATTTCAACAGTTAACACATTTAATAAAAAAATGCATTGTTTTCCATTAATATTCAGTTACCTTCTCCACCCAGTACATAGTTATAAGCTATGGAATTCATTCCCCCAAGATGGTAGCGGTGACCGCCATCCTGGATGGCTTTAAAAGGCAATTAGACATGTTTATATTTGATGTCACATCAACCCCTCATCTTCTAGAAAATGGGCTTTATCTCAGATTTGATCATTTCCTGCCTGATGCAAATGCAGCATCACTTCAGCACCACCCCACTTATATATATATATATTTCTTCCTTTTCAGTCCTCCTCTAGACGCGCCGGTCTCTGCTGCACTAACTGCCATACGACCAACACTACGCTCTGGAGACGGAATGCAGAAGGGGAGCCAGTCTGCAACGCGTGTGGATTATACATGAAACTGCATGGGGTAAGGAGCTTGTATTCATTAGCCTGGTATTCTGTGCATGTGTCTCTTCAAACACAAAGCCCCAAAGAAATAATAAATGCAGAAACAAGTACAATATACAGAAATAAATACAGGCGCGCACACCTCAATTTATGCCGGAGTTACGTTCCAGGTCAGCGCATGCATTGGCAGAGCGCATTAAGCTGTCCGCCCCAGCCCTCCTCCTTCCAGTGCCGAACATAACAATAATAATAATAATAATAATAATTTATACCCCGCCCATCTGGCTGAGTTTCCCCAGCCACTCTGGGCGGCTTCCAATCAAGTGTTAAAAACAATACAGCATTAAATATTAAAAACTTCCCTAAACAGGGCTGCCTTCAGATGTCTTTTAAAAATAAGATAGCTGCTTATTTTCTTCATATCTGAAGGGAGGGCGTTCCACAGGGCGGGCGCCACTACCGAGAAGGCCCTCTGTCTGGTTCCCTGTAACCTCACTTCTCGCAATGAGGGAACTGCCAGAAGGCCCTCGGCGCTGGATCTCAGTGTCTGGGCAGAACGATGGGGGTGGAGACGCTCCTTCAGGTATACAGGACTGAGGCCGTTTAGGGCTTTAAAGGTCAGCACCAACACTTTGAATTGTGCTCGAAAATGTACTGGGAGCCAATGCAGATCTCTCAGGACTGGTGTTATGTGGTCCCGGTGGCCACTCCCAGTCACCAGTCTAGTTGCCGCATTCTGGATTAATTGCAGTTTCTGGGTCACCTTCAAAGGTAACTCCACGTAGAGCGCATTGCAGTAGTCCAAGCGGGAGATAACTAGAGCATGCACCACTCTGGCAAGACAGTCTGCAGGCAGGTAGGGTCATCCTGCGTACCAGGTGGAGCTGGTAGACAACTGCCCTGGACACAGAATGAACCTGCGCCTCCATGGACAGCATGTGTGCATCAAACACACACAAATTGAGAGGGGCCTGTATGTAGCTAAAAACAATGACTCTAAAAGTCAGTTCACAAAAGAATCAGACACAAAAACCCTTCTGCTCAACAACAGGATGGACAAGTACTGCCTAAAGGCAGCACAATATAGTGGTCTCCATCAGTTCCCAAATACTTGAGAAAGAAACATGTATTTGCCTTCCTGGGGAGAGTGTTTTTGCAACTGAGGGGCTACCACTGAAAAGGCCTGTTCTCTCATTGCTCCCCTCCAAACTTTTCTTGGAAAGGGCACTGAGAGAACAGGCTTCAAACAACTATTTTGGGGTGTGGGTCAGTACTTATGAGATTAGGCAGTCTATAAGGAACCGGGGTCCTAAACTGTCTAAGGCTTTATGCACCATTTTGATTTTAGTTCAGAAGTGGAATCTGCCACCGGGCCAGAACCGGTGCCAGTGTGCTTTGCGTCTTTCCAAAATGTGGACCTAGGTTTCACCTGTCCCAGAGACGGAAGACTGTCCTTGTTCAAGAAGTAAAAATACTGTAGTCATCAGCCACAGCTATTTCTCCTAACCCAGTAGTGTAGGAAGGAAACTGGAGGAAATATGGGTGTGTGTGTCTGTCGTAAGGTTCTCCAAATACTCTGCCTCATGCATCTACTAGCCCAAGGACTGCCAATGAGAAAAATGAACCCCTCTGAAGGACAAGGACACCATGTGCATTGCACAGATACAGTGACTATAAAGTGAATACTGGAGTGCTCTGCAGAAAAGCAAGTCAAAGCCGGTACTGACGATTCTTCCTCTTTTTGATGTCAAGGTACCCAGACCTCTGGCAATGAAAAAAGAAAGCATCCAGACGAGGAAGAGGAAACCTAAAAATATCACCAAAGGAAAATCCTCAACAGGTATCAATAATAATAGTAAATTATAAAATAAATGCCGTCTCGGTGCATGCAGGGCTGTCCTGCTCCAAAAAGCTTACAATCTACACTGCAGAATTAGGGAAAGGAAGGCAGTATCTGCATGATTTGATCCTTCGATGTCGATTCTTTCTACCATTGTGAAGCAGGATTCATGTAGTGTTCACACAGTTCATACACACTATGGAGTCAGCTACATTAGTAACAAAACAAACAGTGTTTTGAATGCATTATAAAGATGCAACACCAGATGGTGCTGGAGAGCAAAAAGAAATTATTTGCGATTTTTCATAGGGGTTTTTTTTCTTGTAACAATTTAATTTCTGACTTATTTATAGCGTCGTCGTCCCCGTGTGTAGATCCAGCCCATGTGTTCACACAGAGAGTTCATCTTTCTCTCTGTGTGTGATCCACAGTTCAGCCAAGGTTTCTCTCTCTGTGTTTAACCTTCACCCTGTCACACATCCAACCCTAGCCAAACCCACAGTCCAAAGAGATGCAACCCAGAAAGAATTATTTCTTATGATTCTGCTGGCTGACTAGTTGGACCCTCTGTGATAACAAAGGATAAGGGTTAAGGGCAAGGGTGAGCTTGAAGGATGATAATTATAAAAATTAAGATTAAATTATAAGTAATAAAATTAAAATGCTTGGTTCTTGTTTGGCTATTTGGGGTTGTCGTCCCCATTAAGATCTTCTAAGATTTTCTAAAGTATTTTCTATTTGTGCAAACCTTGGGGACTGCTCCTCTTGTGTGTGGACGGTACTGTTTTGGCTGCAAAAGGATTGGCACTCAGTGGGTTGAGTTTGCTATTGGTAATGGGATAAAACAACAGGTAGGGAGCCTATTCCAATCTGAGGGCTGTATTCCATTGCAGGAGCTTTCTGGGGGCCACATGCAGTGATGGTAGGGGCCAGAGGCGAAAGCAAGGAAAGCAATGGATGTGATTGTTGCCTTTGTACAGTAGTCTAGATTCTTCATCCTTCATCCCCAAAGCAAAAGCCATTATCACAGTTCCAGAAAATGTGACATCTAGGCAAAAGTTCTCAAGTAACACGCAGAGGAGAGCCAGTGAGAAGTATGGGGTGGCGTAGGGTCTAGGGAGGGTCCCAAGGGCCAAATAGATAGCCCTCAAGGGCCACATTCAGCCCCTGGATCTGACAGTTCCTCACTCCTGAGAAAGAAGCAAATGTTTGGTCTCAGGGGCCTTGCACAGATGTCAGAAGTTTGAAGGAAATGGAAATATGAATAAATCATATGGCTTATAACTAGCAATAATAATGGAATCTGCTTCTGCTTCACACTTCCATTAATGTATGTATTCTTTAAACCATTTTATCTTGCAGGGTCCACCAATTCAACCACCAATTCCCCTTCCTCCATCACAAATTCTGAAAGCACTGTCACTTTAAAAACGGAACCCTCAGTAACATCGCAATATCCAGGGCAGTCGATCGTGGCAGCTTCCCAGGTAAATGGATGATGGGAACTGCAGTACATCTTGACAAATGATCTGATATGTAGCATGCTCATGGATTTTGTGCTGCTGGTGGAGATGATAATGATGGACTCCTCTAGCAGCGATTGGCCAAGCTGCCGTAATTTCAGAGTCTCCTGGGCCAGTTAGAAATTGGGCATAATCTTAATGTATGGCAGGCCAGAACGGAAATAAAGGCCTGTATTAAAAATGGATGTCTATAAAAGGGGGCAGTAGACCAAAGGAATTATGGGAGTGGAGATGAGTCCTGCAAAATAATGAGTGGGAGACCTGAAGAAGGAATACAAGAGTTTAGTGTTTCTCCCCAGCTGATGGACCAAACTCCCATCATCCCTGACTACTCGTCCTACTAGCTAGGGATGATGGGAGTTGTAGTCCACCACAGCTGGGGACCCAAGTTTGAGAAACACTGAAAGGGAAACTAGAAGCAGGGAGGCATAAAGAAGGGTGTGTGTCAGGGACGGGGAACCTGTGGCTCTCTGGATGTTGTTGGACTCCAATTCCCATCAGCCCAAGCCAACAGTGGCCACTGCTCAGGAGTGATGGGAGCTGTAGTCCACCAATATCTGGAGGGCTACAGGTTTCCCACTCTTTGTGTATACAGCCAGGAGCTGCAGAGATCAAGAAGACTAGAGGTCTGACCCATGTTAAACATGTTAGTCTTTACAGTAGGGGTTAAAGCAACCAATGCAATAGAAATTTCACCTGTAATGGGGACACCAAGCCCATTCATTTCTTTGTTGCAAATCCTTGTAGGGTCCAAGCCAATCTGAAGACGCTCTGGCTGACAGCCACACCCAGTTCAAGTACGAGCCAGAGGACTACGCCTTCTCTGCGGCCACCATGACCCAGCAGTCGGGACTAAGCGTTCCTCTTCGCCAAGACTCATGGTGCGCCCTGGCACTGGCCTAGGAAACTGGTCTTCCATTTTTAAAATTGAAAGCAGGTAGCAGATGAACCTGTTGTTCCCATGACGTCAGTGGATAGCAGGCAAAAAAAAAGGACCTTCCTACCTTAGTACTTTGGGTGATCAATGTGGGTCTATGTTTTCTAAATGCTGGCTTCTTTTTCCATGGAAGATGCACCATTTGAACTGAATATGACCAATTGCCTCCCTCTTGACACATCTGACTCTATGGGTCTCTTTTTTGCTCTCAAAAAGTTTTCAAATTTTACCAGCACCAATCGAAAGCGGGAAGAAACCCAGACCTCTGTTCGGAGGAGGAGGTATCTATCTTCCCCATGATCCATTTTAAAGAAATAAATCTCAGAATCTATACTTTTGTTCACAGTGATTTCAACTCCCCTCTTTTTATGACTCCCCTGTGTGCAATTTTACTCCACTTCCCAATAAAGACTATAATAGACAGTGGCACCAAGTAACTTAATTTTATTAAAATGTAAACAAGTCTTGCCTTCCTAATGTTTATTGGTGTGGGCAAGGCAAAGGGGAGAGGAGGGAGAGGAAAATAAACCTGTTTTAAAACATTTGCTGTTTTATATTAAAAAGAAAATACTTCTGATAGTGTGTTACCTTCTGGAGTGTCTAATTTATCACCATTTAAACAAATAAATCGCACAGAGAAATTCTCTTGAACTGCTCTTCCAAGCATTCTGTTGAAGAAAGTTTCTCAACACACCAGCCCATCACACTGTAGCAGAGGTGGCGCCACTCCCAGTCATCAGTCTAGCTGCCACATTGTGGATTAAGACTTTCATTGCCTACTTGTCATATTATACACCCAGGGTATGCTCTGAAGGCACATGAGGTCACCATCTTGCTGAGGTTCAGCAGATCTGGGTCTGACCAGGGCCTGGAACCCCATGCCCACCACCCTGGGCTCCATGGCTGAAGAAAGGTAGGGTACAAATGTAAAAAAGTAAATGAATCTATCTGAGGTCGTACGCCTCTGAATGTCAGTCACTGGGGAACACGAGCCAGAGTTTGCACTGATGGGGGGCTTCCTATAGTCATCTGGTTGGCCCTTGTAGGTTCAGAAAGCTGGACAAGATGAGCCTTTGATCTGATCCAGCAGGACTCTTCATTATGAACTAACTACTATGGAAAATGGTGGTTATTGTGTTTTGGGAATTTAATTTTGACTTTCCAAATACAGGCATTTGAATCTTTGTAGCTCAGCTTTGCTCTTGCCCTGAAAGGCCAGTCAAACGTAAACAGAGAAGCTTGGGGCCAGGAGACTTCACTGCATTGCAAATACCTGACTGTCCTATCATACAGCAGAGGGCAAAGACTTGTTCGGTGTGATCCTTGAGAACAGGACGAATCTAATGGGCTTAGAGAAGGAGGTTGGAATTTTAGTTGTCCATTAGGGTGGTAAGAGCAGCTCAACAAAGGAATTCATAACCTAGAGATTGGTGGGTTCTCCAACTCTAGAGGTCTTCAGGCAAATATTAGGCAGCCATATCTTGGAGATGCCCTATCCCTGGATTTGCTGGGTTGAGCAGCGGGTTAGACTAGCAGATCTTGGGAGATCCCTCTTACTCTTGAAGAACCCCTTCAAGTTTGGGATCTGCCAGTATTCAGTGAAAGTATATTATGTTCAATGACCTTGGGTTCCTGCCAGACCAGCTTCTGTAAACAAGTGAGAATTTTCCAAGATTATTTGGGGACCAATATAAGGAGATTTGGAGAGATCCAAACTTACTGTTTTCCCCTGTTAAAATGCTCTATGGAAACAAAAATGGGAGTGAGAGAAGTGAGTGGTGAGGTGTCATCAGCTCAGCATGACCAATTGTGTGTCCAGTAACTTTGCTTCAATCTAGCAGGAGCTATTTATAGCCAGGAAGTTGTCAAGGAATTACCCATTATTATGGAAACAATCTGGTTCAGGGTTTCCTGCACTGGTTGTTTTCCTTGTCAAAGAGAATTATGTGGTTTGGTGGTGGTGTTGTTTTTTTATGATGTCAAACACACACAATGTCCCACTGTACCGAAGGGGAGAGGAGATGGAGAGGAGACTGTCAGTGAATTATGGGGACATTGTTAGTTCCCCGGGAACTAACAATTGATCATTAAACCACTCTGCAATTATAGCTCTATGAGGGGAATAGGGAGTCTCCTAGCAATTCTCAGCCCCCTTAACAAACTACGCTTCCCAGGATTCTCTGGGGTAAACCATGGCTATTTATAATGCAGATGGTGCCTTACTTCTGCCACCTCTGTACATACTTGTTGGAACTCCACAGCGTCATAATAGGATTACGGGGTGAGTAACCTCCTGAAGCAAAGAGCAAGAAAATGCCTGAAGGTGTGTTGGATTTGATGTGAGATGTTGGAATGAAGATACTGGATGCTTTAGAATGCTTGAACAGAGGGGGACACAGAGAGAGAGAGAGAGAGCTATTTTAAATCCATTGACCATCAATCTTGTAGCCAGCAGCGGGGAATGGGTGGCCCTGCAGATGTTGGACTCCACTTCCCATCAGCCAACAATGGCTGCTGCTCAGCTCCAGCCACCATGGGTAATGGTCAGGGATGGTGGCCATTGGACTTCAGCAACACCTAGCAAGCCACAGCCATGTCCAAAGGCAATAGCCATGCTCTCAACCTTGTCTGCATAAGTCATTTTGTAAAGCGGGCACAGAGAGAACCAAAACTCTGCCAAGAGCTGACTCCCGATGGCTCCAGTAGAGTTATTTATGAGCTGCTGGTAAATGCGGACTGTACACTTGCAGCTTAAAGAAACAATGACAGCATGAGGAAAAAACGAAAGAGTTGCTCTGCAAGCCCAACCTGCTTCTGCAGAGGGCTGCAAGGGGGCTTGTTGCAAGGCATCCATTATTTTTACACCTGAAGTATAATGGAGCAGCGTTCCTCACCCAAAGGCGATGCTCATGTGCATTCATTCTTGTAGCCCTCGGAGTAGGTTTTGCACAATAGTCTCCAGTGTAGCAAATGGAACAGTTCCTTTTCTGCAATGGGCAGAGGCAGGAAAATTAACCCCTGTCCCCCACCATCTCTATCCCAGTTCCCATATGTCGTCCATGTGTAAAAAGGTAAAGTGACCCCTGACCATTAGGTCCAGTCGTGACCGACTCTGGGGTTGCGGCGCTCATCTCGCTTTATTGGCCAAGGGAGCTGGCGTACAGCTTCCGGGTCATGTGGCCAGCATGACTAAGCCGCTTCTGGTGAACCAGAGCAGTGCACGGAAACGCCGTTTACCTTCCCGCCGAAGTGGTACCTATTTATCTACTTGCACTTTGACGTGCTTTTGAACTGCTAGGTTGGCAGGAGCAGGAGCCGAGCAACGGGAGCTCACCCCGTCACGGGGATTCAAACCGCCAACCTTCTGATTGACAAGCCCTAGGCTCTGTGGTTTAACCCACAGCACCACCCGCATCCCTCTCGTCCATTTATAGGACAGGCCTAAATGACTGGGAAGGGGGAAGCGGGCAGTTTCTCTCTTCAGTATTATAAAATTACAACATGAAAACAACAACAATAAAGACACAAATCAATACTCGTGGTCCACATCCTGGACTTGACAGAGCCTGAATGCGATCTTTATTTATAAAGGTATTTATATACTGCCATTTATATACTGCGACGTCAGGGCGGTGTACAATGATAAAATGTCATTTAAATGGTACGAAACAATAATTGAAACGATCACTTTAAAAAAAGCACTATTCAAACAGCAACATAGGCCTGTTCACAGGACATCTTCTTAAGCAACTGCAATTCAAGTTGGTATTGAGTGGACTTTACCAACTTTAGTTGGGAATCTTTAATTTTAATCACAGCACGTGTCTCCTCTGCCAATTTCCAGATCTTCCACTGCCACTCTGTAATTTCTGTTGGTGCCTGTTGTACTCCCCCCTCAGACAGAAGCTATTTCAGCTTAAACACCCATTAAGACAGAGCTGTAGCACATTTTTGCCTTCAGAATAGAATATGCAAAAAAAGTCCTTTTTGCAGGGGTGCAGGTACGGGGGGGTGGGGAACCTTATCCGTTGCTTTTCCATGCCTATTTGCAGCCATCATTCTCCAGCTCTGCTGCTGCTGCTGTACTAGTTTATCTTTAACACGGTGGCTGCTTCTTTTGCTACAATATCCTAGCCAATCAGGGACCACATAGTGAATGTGATAAGAGAATACGGTTAAATCATCAAGGGTCAAGCCCACATGTGCACAGGAATACATACAGAAGCATGCACTGAAAGGTGTATGGATTGATTGCTGAACTGAGCAGAGTTTCCCGAGAGTTAAAAGCTTTCGTTGCTAAAATTAAGGCACCAGTCCTCAAGCTAATGAGGATAACTTCATTCCTGATACCTAGATTTCTGGTCATGGGGAATGCATATGATGGAAGCATAATAATAATAATAATAATAATAATAATAATAATAATAATAATTTATTATTTATACCCCGCCCATCTGGCTGAGTTTCCCCAGCCACTCTGGGCAGCTCCCAATCAAGTGTTAAAAACAATACAGCATTAAATATTAAAAACTTCCCTAAACAGGGCTGCCTTCAGATGTCTTTTAAAGATAGGAAAGCCGCTTATTTCCTTCACATCTGAAGGTAGGATGTTCCACAGGGTGGGCACCACTACCGAGAACGCCCTCTGTCTGGTTCCCTGTAACCTCACTTCTCGCAGGGAGAGAACCGCCAGAAGGCCCTTGCCACTGGATCTCAGTGTCCGGGCTGGACAATGGGGGTGGAGACACTCCTTCAGGTATACTGGGCCGAGGCCGTTTAGGACTTCAAAGGTCATCACCAACAATTTGAATTGTGCTCGGAAACGTACTGGGAGCCAATGCAGAACTCTCAGGACCTAAGCATCTAGGTATGCTTGCCTGAAGAAGAATGCTTTTAGCAGGTGCCCAAAAAAAGTCTAGCAAAGGAACATGCTTTGTTGAAATTTCAGCCTTCACAACACAGGAAA